AAAAAAAAAAAAAAGACATTATTTGCCCTTTCTCCTCTCATCACTCTGACAACTAATGGAATGTGTGCTTATAGATTCTTGTATTTAAAAGCATTTCTCAGTTTTAAATTTCTTTTTCTTTTTTTGCAGTTTTTGGCCAGGGCTGTTTGAACCCGCCACCTCCAGCATATGGAACCGGCACCCTACTCCTTTAAGCCACAGGCACCACCCCCAGTTTTTAATTTCTAATGACATAAATATTGGTATAAATAATCTACATAAACAAAATCTCTTCAGAGTCCTTAATAATTTGTTTTTTAAATGAGACAGGTTTCACCCTGTCACCTAGTATGGGGTACAGTGGCATGATCATAGCTCATTGCAGCCTTAAATCCCTGGGTGTTTAAGCAATCCTCTTGCCTCAGCTTCCTGAGCAGCTAGAACTACATGTGCACACAACCACACCTGCTAATTTTTCTTATTTTTTGCAAAGATGAGGTCTCAATATGTTGCCCAGGCTGGTTTTGAACACCTGGCCTCAAGCAATTCTCTTGCTTCAGCCTCCCAAAGTGCTGGTATTACAGGCATAAGCCACCACTACCAGCCTCTCAATAATTTTAAAGGGGGTCTTGAAACCAGAAAGTTTGAAAATTGTTTATGTATTCATGGCTTCCCTACAATGAACATCTTGATGATCAGTCATAAGATTTCCCCTACATGATGCCAGTTTTTCATCATTTGCTAATGTGTAGGATGTTTTCTAGACTTCTTAGGGTCACTTATTTTCTTCACAGGCTTGGCACTTTCCAACAACGCATACCCATTTCATGACATGAGAAAGATGACAGTAGTAATGTGCAATGCACTGAAACAGCACAAGCACCAAATGTACTATTAAGAAGACAGCTGGAGTTTGACTGCAGTACACTCTACAGCGTCTCTCCCTGGACTTGGGGGCAACTTACAAGTTCTTATAATTGGTTTTTGATTCAGATAGTTTTGGATAAACTTCCACGAGTTACTACAGCAAATAATCATAGAGAGAGCTCAGATAAACAATCAGATCTAAGTCTTCTAAGGGGACTTTCTGTGTAAAAGTATGTAACACGTAATGATAGTTCCATCTTCACATTTTGTTATTACATACGTAATGCAGAATAAGACATGACAAAGTGACAGCTATAGAGTATGGAAAACGTAGATGACTGACAGTTCTAACTCCTGACACATAACGACTTGGATTTGTGTTGTATCTAAACGTCACCAACCTTTTCTCTCCTCCTCATTCCCCACCCTCAAAAGACAAATTGTTTCACAATCCAAAGAGACAGTATGGGGTAGAGGAAAGAATTTTTGACAGGAATAGAAGATCGCGCTTTTAGTGCCGGCTCTGTCACTAAACAAGCTGGTTGACTTTTGGCCTCTCTTCTCTCACTATGCTTCCGTTTAAGCTGAAACTAGGGCGATGATCACAACAGCTTTGTTTCTCCTCTAACACCAGATGATTTTGCAGGCAGATTCGGGAAGCTTAAAAATTACCCACTCCCTACGTGTATTTTAAAATTAATGCAACAAGTCCTGCTGCCTCAGGGGTCACCGATTCAGAATGTCTGAGTTTGCACAGGCCCTCCTTATGCCACCCAGGATAGCATCACATCACCTATGTGAAAGTTGAAGTTCTTTTCCTTAAACTCCACTCTGAGTGAGAACTTCTCCCTTCCCCATTTATATTTATATGCACCACAGCTCCATTGGCTACCAAACTCGTTTTTCAAAAGAGGTCGAGAAGACCAAGCACGCTAAGAACGAGGTCCAGGTCGCTGGTGCGCTGACAACATGATGGACCTCCCTTCTACCCCGGCTCCCTGACGCACCCCCTAAAGCCCGACACGCCAGCTTGCCTACTAAGACGCCGGTGTCACCCGCCGCGCGGGGTGACATGAGCCAATCCTTACTCCACGCGACAAAGGATAGCCAACCCTCCGCGGTCCGCTGGCCACATCTCCGCAGCTCTGTTCTCTTTCCGCCGGAAAAGACCCCTTTCTGGGTTCCTGGGCGTAGGGAGGAAGTCCCGCCTCCCGTGACGGTGTGTCGTAAGAGGCACGTGGAGGCGCAGTGCTCCGCCTTGGAATGATCCGGTTGGCTGTTGCTACCTTCGCTGAGCGATTCCGGGGAAGCTGGTACCAGAGTTGGTTCCTGTCGGTGCTATAGGCAGTAGGCAGTAGGGAGTGGGGAGAGGGCCGGGAGCCTTTCGGCCAAGCTTGGAGAGCTGCTTGCAGCCTCTCAGGTCCTTAAGAACTCCCTCCTTCTTGCCTAGTGATAGATGGGATTATTAATTCTTTTTTTGTTGATTAATTTGAGTTCTCTGTAAATCCTGGTTAGACCTCTGTAGATCCAAGCCTTTGTCGGATTCATAAGATACAAATATGTTTTCCCATTCTGAAGGTTGTATATTTGTTTTGGTTGTGGGGTCTTATCTTGGCTGTGCAGAAGCTTTTAAGTTTAGTACCATTTATTTATTTTTTTGTTGTTGCAACTGTCATGGCAGTCTTCTTCATAAAACCTAATGTGCACAATGCAAGGGTACATGTCAAAACTATTAAGAGTAGAGTGTAAATGTCTTCACACAACAAATAAGTGAGGTAAATGTTATGTTAACCAGTTTGATGTAACCATTCTAAATTATATATAAAATCAGCACATTTAAAAAAAGAAAGAAAAAAAGGGTTTCCCCAGGCCAACATCTTTGAGAGTTTTCCCCACACTTTTTTCTAGGATTTTTATCATTTCATTCCTTAGACATAAATCTTTTATCCATCTTGAATCAGTTCTGGTATTTGGTGGGGGGTACAGAACCAGTTTCAGTCTTTTGCATGTGGTTATCCAGTTCTCCCAACACCATTTGTTGAATGGTGATTCTTTTTCTCAGTGTATGCTCTTGTTTGGTTTATCAAAGATCAGGTGGCTATAAGATGTTAGTTTCCAGAGATGTTGGTGTGGATGTGGAGAAAAGGGAACACTTATACACTGCTGGTGGGAATGCAAATTAATTTGTTCCTTTTGGAAAGACATCTGGAGAACACTGAGAGAACTAAAAATAAACCTGCCATTTGATCCTGCAATTCCTTTATTAGGTATATATCCAGAAGACCAAAAATCACATTACAACAAACATATCTGTATCAGAATGTTTATTGCAGCCCAATTCATAATTGCTAGGTCATGGAAGAAGCCTAAATGCCCATCGACCAACGAATGGATCAATAAATTGTGGTATATGTACACCATGGAATACTATGCAGCCCTAAAGAAAGATGGAGACTTTACCTCCTTCATGTTTATATGGATGGAATTAGAAAATGTTCTTCTCAGTAAAGTATCTCAAGAATGGAAGAAAAAGTATCCAATGTACACAGTCCTATTTTGAAACTAATTCATAACTTTTATAGGAATGTAATAACCTAATTATAGCCTTAGAATATGGGAAGGAGGTGGGAGAGGGGAGGCGAGGAGGTGGATGGGGAAGGGAGCGTGATTGGTGGGGTCACCTATATGGTTTATCTTACAAGGGTTCAAGTGAATCTTTCTAAAAGCAGAGTATGAATGTCTTAATGACTAAGAGAATGACATGAAGGTTATGTTAACCAGTTTGATGAGAGTATTTCAAAATGTATATGAAAACAGCACACTGTACCCCATGATTGCATTAATGTACATAGTTATGCTATAAGAAAATTTTTTAAAAAGATGTTTAAAAAAAAAAAAAAGAACTCCCTCCTTCTTACGCAGACATCCTCCGGGATATTGAGGCTCCTTTCCAGCAGGTGCCCTTGTTTCCCCATCTGCTCCCATGCCCCTGTGCTGTTTGGTTTCTTACCATTTTCGTAGCCACTCATCTCACCATTACTGACCACTGGGCATGCATCATCTCGCTTCCGGAGCTCGTGAGCCTGCAGTAATTATTGACTACTGCTGCTGGAAGCTCAGCCATTCTTTTACCACGGAGGTGGTTGAAAGCCTGAATTCTCCTATGGACATGGTACTCTTGAAACTAGGAAGATAAAGTAGAAATTAATATTGCCCTTATAATAGTTTTCCACGAGCTGCCATAAGCAACTACCACACATTGGATGGCTTAAACAACAGATATATTCTCTTGCTTTCTGGAGTCTAGGATTCTAAAATCAAGGCTGCAGTAGGACCATGACTCTGGGTTGAATCCTTTCTTACCTTTTCCTAGCTTCTGATGGTAGGCAACAATCACTGGGGTTCTTTGCCTTGTAGCTGCTGCGCTGCTTTATGCTCTTCCTCTGCTGTCAAATGGTATTCTCTGTGTCTGCCTTTGTCTCTGTTTCTTACAAGGACACCAGTCCTATTAGATAAAAGGCCTAACTTCCAGTATGACCTGCTTACATCTGCAATGACCCTATTTCCAAATAAGGTCACATTGTGAAGTTCTTGGAGAGGACATGAATATTGAGGGTGACCCTAACCAACTCAGTACAGCTGCCAAAGTTCTTAAGTAGACCAAAAATAGCTACAGTGCAAGTGAATTCAAGCTTAGTTCAGTTGGATCTGAGAAGATATTTCCTTAGACATTTGGGCTAGTCCCTTGAAAAGTGGGTAGGATTTGGATGTGTCATCATAGACTGTCAGAGACAACATTCTAGGCAAAAGAAAAATCACAGACAATGAAATATAGGTTGAATTGTAAAACAGATTAATGCAGGAAGGATCTGGAACGCAGACAGATGTAGTTTGGATATTAGTCTCCTCCCAATCTCCTGCTAAAATTTGATCCCAGCATTGGAGGTGGCCCAAGTGGGGAGTGTTTGGGTTATGGGGAAGATCTCTCATGGATGACCTTGGTCCTAAGGGGAAAAGAGCTCTGCACCACACACACCCCTTGCTACCTTCCTCAGACCACATGATGCTGTGCCCCTTCCCCTTATGCTGTGAGTGGAGGCTTCCTGAGGCCCTCACCAGAAGCAGATCTTAGCTCATGCCTTTTGTACAGCCCACAGAACTGTGAGCCAAATAAAGTTTTTGATAAATTACTCAGCTTCAAGTACTCCTTTATATCAGTGTTTGTCAACCTTTTTTATCTCACAGCACACTTGAACCTGTAGCTAAACTTCTGCAGCACACTTATGTTGATAAAAAAAAGAACAAACTGCTTTGAACTTCCTTCTAAAATAATTTAATTAATAATCTTTAAAAATTTTCTCAACACACCTAAGATCCTCTTATAGCACACCAGTGTGAAAAAAAATCACTGCTTCATAGCAATGAAAACAGACCAAGATAGACTGAAGGGTTTGGAGTCTATTCCCTATATGAAATTAGGAGTAGAGCCAAGCATGGTAGCTCATACCTGTAGCTCTTTGGGTTTGGAGTCTATTCCCTATATGAAATTAGGAGTAGAGCCAAGCATGGTAGCTCATACCTGTAGCTCTTTGGACACTGAGTCAGAAGGATTGCTGAAGGCCAAGAGTTCCAAGACCAGCCTGAGCAAAAGCAAGACTGTGTCTCTACAAAAAACAGAAATATCAGCCAGTTGTAGTGGTGCATGTAGTCCCAACGACTGAGGAGGATGAGTCAGCAGGATTGCTTGAGCCCAGGAGTTTGAGGTTTCAGTGAGCTATGACTCCACGGCACTCTAGCCCAGGTGACAAAGTGAGACTTTGTCACAGAAAATAAAATTAGGAGTAAATCAGTTCTCTTGCTTTCTCTCAATTCCATTTTAATCTCTGCACATACCTCACCTTCTGCCCTGAGTGGAGGCAGTCTGAAACCCTCACCAGACACAGGTACTAATACCATGCTTTTTTCTTTTTCTTTCTTTCTTTTTTTTTTTTTTTTTTGAGACAGAGTTCCACTTTGTCACCCTCGGAAGAGTGCTGTGCCGTCATAGCTCACAGCAACCTCAAACTCTTGGGCTCAAGCAATTCTCTTGCCTCAACCTCTCAAGCAACTGGGGCTACAGGCTCCCACCACAACACCTGGCTAAACACCATGCTTCTTGTGCAGCATGCAGAACTGTGCGCCGAATGTACCTCTTTTCTTTATAAGTTAAAAAACATTAGGAGCAAATAAAAGTATTTCAGCAATGATGTGCTTTGCAGATTAATTTGCTACCAGTTTGAGCCAAGAAATCTTACATCCTAAATTGAGTACTACTTGTGCTTTTTTTTATTCTGGTGTCTCTGCTCATGCTGTCTTTCCTGCCTGGAATGCTTTCATCAAGCTGCAGTTTTCACTTGTCTGTTTTGCTGTTCCAGATATCCTCTTATAGCATGGTAGGGGGTTAGGAGGGGCGAGGAAAGTTTTTCAACTCATTTTATACTATTAGAATGCCCGTAAGACCTGATAAAAATAGCACAAGAAGAGAAAAATGTCAGGGAAAAATGGGAATATCTACTTTCATTGCTAATACTCAGCATAGTGTGAGGTTTTCTAGCCAATGCAATACTAAAAGAAAAATGATAAAAAATTAGGAAAGGCGCCCTTGGAGGAGTAGCTGGTGTTGGTGCTCAGCGGCTGGACGTCACTGCTCCTGCTGGAGCTGGCCCAGGACCGGCTGCAGTTGGAGACCGTGGAGACGTGGAGACGGCCCAGCAGAGTGTGCTGCTGGCGATCCTCACCACCAGGCGGCAGGAGATGGCGAGCAACAGGCCACCGTCCCTGGGCCAGCTGCAGTCACAGTTGGCATCTCCTCCCGACACTGGACGGTTGCTCTCTGCTGCTGAGGTCCAAGTCATCAAGGGCTTCCTCGCTAAGTGCTGGAGTCTGAACATCGGTAGCAAAGAGTATGCCTACCTCAAGGGGACTGCAAAAAAAAAAAAAAAATTAGGAAAGGAAGAAGTGAAAATATTTTCAAATGATGTGATTTACTTTATACAAAGTTTAAGAGAATAACACTCGGTGCCTGTGGCTCAAGTGGCTAAGGCACCAGCCACATACACCTAAAGTGGCAGGTTCGAATCCAGCCCCAGC